AGCATCCGATGTAAAATAATTGATGGCAATATTTATTTCCCAGCAAATGCGATGATGAATGATATCACCTCGAACGCATACAGGTAGGTATATATTGTATGAACTCTTTTTCGAAAGAAAAATAAACAAAAAAAAAAAAAAAAGAGTGACTCTGCTTAAAAGGGGATGTAAGTTCCCAGTAATATTTAATGGAGAGGGAGGGAGGGAGGGCCGAATGCTAAAAGTGTGTCTGGGGGCTCAAGTTAAAGCCAAGTCCGATCGAATCAAGCCGTAAAACGCGACAGGGATTATATACCCGCACATTCGCACGAGAGAGCACCATCGCCTCGAGGCCCGCGCAAACGTAAGAAGTTGGGTGAGTGTGTGTTATATATAAATGTGCATGTATGGTGTAAGTAGCGGTGGTATGTATATGGTGTTAGGTAACGAAATACGTAGCGGAAGAGCTAAAAGTAAGAGAGGGAGAGAGAAGAGGCGCTGACCGAGGAGGAGGAGAGCTGGTTGGCAAAAGCCCTTGGCACGTAAGCTCTGGTGCTGCTGATGGTGTTGGTCGGTACCTATAGGTAAGGTATACATACATTATACACATAGTAGGTTATGTGCACTATATACATTAACGGGGTAGAGTGTGTACTTTCACGTATATATATATATATATATATATATATGTACATGTTGTATACGTCGAGAAGGGATGAGGGTGTAGATACATGTATACGTGTATACGCAAATGAGGGAGTATAGATGTGAATACGAGAATGGCCAGGGGGCAGCTAACGTTTATAACATTAACGCTAATGGACTACCTTATACCTTATACACCAGTGGACCCTACTACTCCTCGTCCTCTTACCGGACCTCCAGCTCTCTCTCTCTCTCGCACATGGACAGCATCCAACGCGGCTACTATCGCCCCCCGTACCCCCTAGCCTCGCCATCGCCCCCATCTCCGTCCCTCGCTCTTTCGCTTTGCTCTCCATACCAAAGTACAGTATAATATTCATGAGTGCATGCAAGCTAATGCATCAAGGAGTAATCGCGGATAGGTAGGCGCGCACCGGCCCCAACTCTCCCACTGCTCTTCCCCCTGAAAAAGCAACGGATCGGCTTCCAGATGTGTATATTTCATACACATTATGTACAAATGCTGCTTCACAAAAAAAAGAGTTGCTGCTCCTATATACACGTGTGTATATAACTGTACGCGAAATGACCTCCCTCTTCTTCCCCCCGTCCGTTTTAGCCCCCCCCCCTTCACCCCCTGACCACCCCTTTATACTTTACTTCGCGAAGGCTACTTCCACTCGGGCTTACAGCGGAGAGAGGCAATAGCCGGGCTCGNAAAAAAAAAAAAAAAAAAAAAAAAAAAAAAAAAAAAAAAAAAAAAGTTGAAATAAACACAACATTCATCCTGATGCGTCGGCACAATATGTTTCACGTACACTCGCGTGGCTATTACGTAAAGAGCGACTCTATCTCGTATATAATCAGGTACCGCGTAGGCTACACGAGATAACCGCTACACCGGCTAATGATAATAATTAATCTGTGTGTACTCTTTACATTTTTCTGCATCGGGTATTTTTCATTGTGTACCTACTTGTGGTGTTTCATTTTTTTTACAACCCCATACGCGGTAAGCTTTTGTAAGCTGTATAGTAATCAAATGAAAAAATACATGATTTCCAAAAACAAATAGTTTCCCCGGGTGGTCTTGATTGAACGAGTAATTCAAGAATGTATACGTACACGACTTTGTAAAAATTTTACCCCTCAAGTACACGACGTGCTTACATTATATATTATACAGCGTAGTCTCGGGCTTTAAGTAAACGAGAGCCCACAACCTGCCGTATATACAAGTACTTACTATCTAAAGCGTAGCACAGGCGTGTACGGATAAAAAACGTTGACGAAGAGCAGCAAAGGGGAGCTAGATAGAAGAAAAAAAAAAAAAAAAAAAAAAAAAATGCTAATGCACGATAAACACAAGTGCGACGCACTGGTGCCATATTCAAACGCGCTTATGCTGTTTTGTCCAGCATGCAAGTATAACTAAGCATAAAACTTGTGCGAAACAACCAAAAAAGCATACCCACGTCGTTGAGCTATAATACTTATACACGCGTTCAGCATCGACAAACCAAAAAATTTCCTTACGTAAGTTTTATCTAGTCTCTCCANAAAAAAAAAAAAAAAAAAAAAAAAAAAAAAAAAAAAAAAATGCTAATGCACGATAAACACAAGTGCGACGCACTGGTGCCATATTCAAACGCGCTTATGCTGTTTTGTCCAGCATGCAAGTATATTATATATGTACCTATACATAGTATAGCTGAACGTGACAGATATTTACCTGTATGATATAGGTATGTACGAGCGACAGCTGCGGTGGGTCTTTTGTCATTTGGGTACACCGCGTGTTCCCGGCGGTCACTTCATCCAATTAATTAATATCATAAACAGTAGCTCTAATTATGCAGTCCTCCCCGGGATTCGCGTATTTAATTTAATTTTAAATCTCAAGGGGGGGGGGTGATATTCTCACGACTCGGCGTTACAGCTCCAATCAACGACACTTTCTCCCTTCCTCGCAGTTTTGTTGCACCAGCAGCTCGTGCACGCGCTTTTGGTCTCGATTATTTTTTTTCAGCTTCGCGAGAGAGGCACAAGAAACGAGGAACAAAAGAGAGGAGAAAAACATACAGAAAGAAGTACGGCACGCACGGCCTACGGGGTTAATAAAAACCACCCGCCCCCATGGGGTTCCCGATCTCCCCTGTACCTACAACAGTACGTATACTCGTTTCCCCACGTTATATACGTGCTCCGCACAGGCACGTCTTCGAGTTCCTCTACTCTTTATATATACACACGTAGCTTCGTCCACCTGCTCGGAATTGTATGACTTGGATCGAATATTTTATACATACTAATTTTGCGGTCATGAACGCCCCAACGAATCGATCTGGAACCCTTTGTCGCTGTTGTTTGATTGCAAATTGCGAGTTCATGCGTGTGTGTACACATCGAAATAAGGCACACGTGTGCGCGTGTTTCGGTCACGCGAGCTTTTTCATGTTAGAGCGGTGCTTGCACGGAGAGCCTCTGGATTAACTTGCCTCAGGTGTTACCATTAGTTTAGCCGAAAAAAAAAAAAAAAAAAAAAAAATGGGTGGGTGCTTGCGAACGTACAAAGTAAAATTACAATAATTAAATGTATAGTTACACACGAGCGTGGATCAATAGGACTCGAAAACCGACTAAAGCTTGGTACGCGTACACGGGTAAGTATATATATAACTCGCTGTAATCATCGTAAGATAAAGCAGCTCTTTATCTTGGTTTTTACGTAACGTGTGCGGATATGTGTGACATACATACATGGAGGGGCACACAGTCACATTTACAAAACCTATTAATACATACCCACGTAATACGCACGGTGCAGATAGCGAGAGAGGCGTGAGCACGGAGTGGGTGTATGTATAGGCGAGCTAGAAAACGGAGTGTGTATATATTTATATATATATGTGTGTGTGTGTACGTTATATGTGGTTGTATAGGTAGAGCTTTCTGTGCTTTAATTACCCTCGAGTCACGTGATTGCAGAGGTTAGCCCGAGGCCGGCTCTATGTGTAGAGACGAGAAGCAAAAGAGGGAAGAAGGAATTGGAAGGGGCGAGAGGGAGGTCGTCAAGTCTTGATGTATGTGCTGATGCTGTCTCGGACGGAGTATAACGTGTGCCGGCGTCTTAAGTAATAATAATCTAATGTACATATGTTATAAATGTACAATGTGTATATGCGACACGTTATGTATACTGATTTTAGGACTCTACTTTCTTGTGCGTGTATAATGTTGTAGTTGTATGGGTGTACTGCGAGTGTTGCTCGTTGTTGTACACACAACGAGGGATGAGGAAGCGATGGCTTTGTACGGGCCTAAAATATTTTTGCTCGCCGTGTAAAGCAGTTTGGTACCGCATGCGCCACTCGCGGCTTGTGGAAGCGTGCAAATGTGTATATTACATACGAGCACAAGGTGGCCCCCGATAAGGGCCTCATTACGTATACGTGGACGATCTTATCGAGCCCGTTGCTAATTGGACGGTCCGATATCTCTCCCTCCCCCCCTTGCATACACAGGTATACATACAACACGCGGAAAAATACGGCTCTCTTTCTCTGAAGTCTCTTTCGTTGCGAGTCGTAAGTAGGTACAATATACGTTGGGGCAGTTGTTACGTGTACAGCGGTGTGCACAGTTTATAACGATAACGTACAGGAGCAGCACATCGCGCTTTTCCTTGAGTTTACACTTGGCGGCGCCCACTAATATTTCGACTGTATTACACAAACAGAGACAGACGGCTGGCCGCGCGCCAGCTCCCTTAGCCTACTTGCGCCTCGTATATATATGTACAAGTATTTTCTGGGTGAGAGTACATTACGTTCGTTACAACCCCTCGTATATACACTTGTACGAGAGAGAGAGCCCTCCGTCTATCTTTTTCTTTCCGCTTCTGATGGCGCGATTTCTCGTTCGGAGCTTTTATCCGTTCGAAGAGCTGCTCGCGTTTGTGTGTGTGTGTGTATACATACAGGTATATGGGGCCTTTGCTCCTCATCGCGATGATCCCAGCTGCAGCGACGACCACGTGGCGACGAGGCGCCTGCGTGCCTCCGCGTGTAATATTATACTCTGCTCTATCGCCACTACGTAACTTTTTCTCTTTTTCCCCCTATCTCGTGCGGTTTCACCCTTTGAGGTACTGATACCGTATGCCCCTCTTTTGGGTCAGGCAGTCCGTTTTTTTTTTTTTTTTTTTTTTCATCCGTCAACATGGACTTGCACCACTCTCAGAGCAGCTTAAAATCAAGTGTACTCGAACCAATGAGCCACGGATCAGCTAAATCGGGGTTACATTGCGTCTAATTAAATTCAACACACCGCGTTTATTATCATTCGCAGTTTAAATGCCATATTGCCAAACTTACCAGAATATCCAAGACATGCAGAGGAGGAGCGTAAGTGCGTGGGATGGCGTCGACGACTTTGTTTTCGTAACCCGATCCACTGGTATATTACAACATACAATCATCAAAATACACTTTTATTTTTATTATTATTATTATTTTTTTTTTTCACTAGATCGCACTTGAATCACAAGGTTATCTTTATTTATTTTTCTCGTTGCACGCAGATTTTTCCGATTTGCTTGATTAATATTAGAGATATTCCAAGAAAGGTAATGTTATCCTGTTGCAATTAATGTTCATGGTGTGCGACTCTTGAATGGGACATGTCTTCTTTGTGATGATGATAATACTGCTGTCGTTATAGACACGCCGGAGCAATTAGAGGAACAGAGCGGACGGCTGACGAGATGAGAGAGACTGACGCGGGGGGAGAAAGCAAGAGTGAAGGCTGAAAGTCGTTAGCAACGGTAATACCCGTAGTGGTGGTGGTGGTGGTATCATCAGCGAATATTGCTTTTCCCGGATTTCTCGTCAATCTATATTTGGAGCACTGCTATTGTATTGTATATACATTGGCATCTGCGTGTCTACGGAGCCATTCACGAGCAACTCGGAGCACTGCAACAACAATTTTATATATATAATAAAAAACAAACACTAACACACGCGCACACGCGGAACTGGAGCGCGGCACGGGGTCTGACTTATTTTTATTTATTTTTTTTGTTTTGTTTTTGTGCTCCTGTCTCTCCTCCAGATACCGCTCTAGAGAGCAGCCTAAGAATTACCCAATGTATTTATTTATTTTCTCTTTTACCCCTCGCAGTCCAAGTTGTACGTGTACAGCAGTTGGAGCAACGTTAAAGCTGCAGTAGACGGAACGTTGCGCAACCACTGTATATGCATATATACGCGAGCGATACACCGGACCTCGTGCTCTCGCGTCGACTGTCACTACACAGTATGCACTTAATCACCGGACCTGTACGGCGTTAGGCATTTTTATCGGACCCGTACACTAATAGTATGAGGTCCCTGTCCCACTCACACGTGGCCACCCCACATGTACACACCAACGAAACCCGAACGACGCGGCTCGGTCAAGGCTCGCGAACAACCTGCAGCACACGAACGCGGCTCTCCAACGAGGAGGAGGAAGAGGCGCTCGTACACCTACTCCGCGTCGGCACATCCATGAGCAAAAGGCAGGAGCAGACGACGCGCACGCAACAAAACGGAGGAGCGAGCGTCGTCGTTCCCTTGCGAAGGTGGTGGTGCGGCTGGATTTCGGAGTCGGAGGCTGTTGCTCCGTAAATACACTCGTTGTTAACAATACGCGTGTGTAATTTTTAAATTGCCCTTGTTAACGCAAGTACACCCTTAAATCCTTATATTGGAAAAAAAAAACGAGCTTGTACATTTGGTAACGAATCACTAAAGAAACAACGCAACAACGCGGATAAAACATACAACACACGCAGAGAGTAGTACACTGCTCCGTATACTGTGGGCTCGTTGCGGCGGCGGCGGCGGACGGGCGAGCAGTAGCGTAGTGTGTGTTGCTCTGCCGGCGGCGCGCACACCACCCCCACTCCCTATGGCTGCCTGCCCCACACACACATCGCGTTTCACCACCGCCGTCGCCGTCGCTGTCTATAATATAATGTGCTATACGTTTTATGACAGTATACAGATATACATACACACACATATATATATATATATTTTAATGTAGCGAGTGTGTACAACAGTAGGTACAGTCGGTAGTATCCAGCCGGGTGGTGGCGCGACGGCATCAGTAGAATAGGTAGTGCGAGCAAGGGAGACGGCAAGCGTGAGGCCGCGAGTCGGCGCACCAGAGAGAAACCAAGCCGGGAGGGGAGGCTCTCTGATGGTCGGAGGGAGGAGGTCTTCTCCCCGCTCACCCTCTCACGCGCTGTTACCCCTATCGCGCTCGCTCGGCTGTTCTCTCTCCCTCTTGTGTGCTCTCGCTCGCTCGCGCTTATATATTCGGCCAACGACGAAACATTTCGCGGCTTTCGTGGGTGGCCCGGGGAGCGGCTGTCTGAGTCGTAGGTATTAAATGTGTACATGCGGGTATAGCTATGTTTGTCGTGTGTGTATGTATGTATTTATATATATGTATGTACGGCATGAGTCTAGGGGGGGGGGCGCATATGCAGAGAAGCAAGACGAAAAAGGGGAGGGTGATACATTCGTTAATTGAATGATTCGCGCTCACTCCTCTCCCTACCCCCCGGGCCCTCTTGACGCTCGCTAATGCTGAGTAGTGAGTGAATGCGAGTGTGTATGTACATATTATACAAGAGTTCACATGTATTCGAAGCTTCGCGAAATATATATATATAGGAACCTACATGTGTCCATGTTGGAGTTACGGTCGAGGCCATCTCGAGGTGCACGTGAGAGAGGTAGGGATGGGGAGTCGCAGCGTGGAGGAGGTGCTATAGCGGTTGGGGGCATCGCAGGATTACTTGGAGTAATTACCTATTTTTATAATATGCTCCGCCTGCTCTCTCTCCCCCCTCTCCCAACCTCGCTCACCACGTTCTCTCTCTCTCTCGTAGCCATCCCACCTCCCACCTCCTTCGTATATACGCAAGCGCGCGATTGTCAGTCTTTCATATTCTCTCTCTTCCCCCTCTTCTGCGGCTCTTCGTTTATCTCGACGAGGCACTCCATTAGAAACTGTCCATTGATTGCATTGCCACTTGCAAATCGCAGCCTCGTTATGTACGCTCTCTCTCCCTCTCTGTCTTGCTCGCACTTGGTTGTATGTGAAATATAACGCGAGTGTACAGGGCGGGATATTGCGCGTGTACTTATATGTACGGAGCGAAAATTTTATTTCACCTTTTTTCCCATCGCTTCTATGACTCATTAAGGATAAAGGACACTAATGATGCGTAAGATTTACGTGCTTCCTCCCCTCCCTATCCATTTGTCGTTTATGTGTACGCGTCTGAATTAAATGCTTCGAAGCAACGTGTCATTATTCCTCCAGTTGTGGGAGCTGTTTTTTTTTCTGTACATGTCAGGGGGGGAAAAAAAAAAGATCCAGCATAAAAATAATACATTGAAATGTGGCATGGAAGAAAAAAAAATTCACGCTCTGCATGGACGAGTGAGCACGCCCTGAAATGAGATGCGAGGGGGAAAGGGAAAGGGAAAAAAAATACACATTAGTCGCGAGAGCCGCAACAACTAAAGACACGGACAACCACACACACCTGTGCACGGGCCGATCACACTTGTCAAAACTTTTATCCGAACTTGGATCGGGAAAAACAACAAAGGGAGCGCGCCGCCAGAGCTCGTTTACCTGCAGCTTTTGGGAGAGCCCCGTACCCTCAGAGCCGGAAAAAGCAAAAGAAAGGCGGGGGGAGCGAATGTAACAAAAATTAGGGGAACAGGTAGTAGCCGGAGAGTTGCACTCGAAGAAGAAGGAGGAAAAGAAAAAAAAGAAAAAAAAGAGGGAGTAGATCCTGGAATAATAAAAGATGAGACAATGGGGCCGAGTTCACGGGGTTTTAAGTTTAATTACCGGGAAGGCCGGTAGGTATATATAAAAGGGAGCCGATCGGCCAGCCTGTCGGGCTGCATTAAGCTTACCTATCACCGGGTTCCGCTGCCGTGGAAAAGTCGACGAGACACTTTTTATGGAATCCCCCCCCCCCTTTTTTTTTTCCTACAACCTCTTGCAAGAGAGCCGCAATGAGAATTAGCCCAGATATATCGGTTTCGATGAAACTGATTTGCGAATCACCGGCGCATAAATTACGCGGAGCCACTTCGTAAGATACCCATCATGTTTTTTTTTTTTTTAGAGTAAAAACTATATATGCAATAGCTCGATATTATTTTGCGCAAGGGCAGTATATGCATGCACGGAAGGTCCCCGAGAGGAAGGGAGAGCCCTGGCGGTTTGACTAAAAAAAAAAAAGGATGTGCCGACGCACGCACGGCGGGACCAGTTTCGAATGTACGTATACATGCAGCAGGGGAGCGGTGGCAAAATGACGGCGAGCCCGGCTACTTTTAATACGGGAGCCGTCCGGGGGCGGGGCCGTCCCGCCAAATGAAAAGCATCCCTAATTTGAAAGCGAGAGGTGAAAAGCAAACAACCAAGTGCTGGCGGCCGTTCGATATGCCCCTCGCTCCCCCAACCCTTGCTCCTCCGCCGCGACGTGTGTGCGTGTACACATATACGCATACGCGTGCAGGCAGGTCTCCTCTTCCAATTACGGGTCATTTACCAAAGACACAGCGGGATGCCTGCGAGACCTATCTTCGCTCCGTCTGGCCCAGCCGCGGGCGTCGCGAAACCGGCCTCCGACTCTCGAGATTTTTCAATTTCCATCGAGCGCTTCGTTTTTTCCTCGGTTTTTTCAACCAACCTATATTTTATATTTTATACACCCATGAACAAAATAATAGCTATATGTCGTCGGTTCCGCAGCTACTTGAGTATTTTAGAGTCATCAAATTAGGCGTAGTATATTTATTCCAAACCTTCGAGTAAGCTCTATTGTACTCTCACACGCGGTCCACTGCAGTGTGGTACGAGGCTCGTATTGACAATATCGTTGCTTGATTATCATCCAAAAATTTGAATGGATTTTTGTTTTTGAAGCTGATTTAATTATCATATGAAAATTGGCGTTTGTACAAAAAGTAGGGGAGGAAAAAAAAAGTTGAAGCTGCATGTGTATCTATCAAAGGATGAAGGTATACGAGAGGGCGCGTAAAAAAAAAGGGGGGGGGAAAGAGAGAAGTTTGCCAATGATATACGATGAAAATATTGAAAAGCGGTCGAGCCACTCTCTCCCATGAACAACCTAATCATGCATACGTCCATGGGTACATATTATATACACAACACGTGTACACGTGAAGGACCACGTGGGGGATATACAGGTATAGTATAGCAACATGTATAATAAGGTACGCAAGTGAACGAGCAAATGGAGGAGGAGCGCGCACATGTGTACGAAAAAATATATATTCAAGCACATAATATAAGAGAGAAGGGGAGGGGGCAGTGCACGGGGCGATCAAGAGGGCCAATTACCGGAGCGGCCCCCTATACACGTACCGGCTCTACTTACATATATACTCTAGCTTCATGCTGAATATTTCTTCACTTGTCCCGAGAGTAGCTAGTATATATATACCATATACCCAGAGTACATTATAATGGAACGTGTATACGTACGACTGCATGCACGCCTTTTTTCCCCATATACGAGCTCAAATAGAGCAGGGTTGGAAAAATAAAAAAAAAAAAAAGAGGGGTAGGTATGCATGTAGGGCGATGTGTGTGCCACTTGAGGAGAGCCTGCAGAGAGGGAGGAGGGGACGCGGGTTGAAGAGCCATTGCAGATTATGCTCGCGTATAACGAAATATCGGAATGCGCGTGCATGTGCCCTCTCCATATATATATATACATTTTCGTGCGTTCGTTAGGGCAAGCACACGCGAGCTCATACAGCCCAAAAGCTGGAGAGGTGGGGTATATACGTTGTTATTATTTTTTAGGAAAAGAAAATAATGCTCGCTGTACAATTTTTCAAATCTCCCGGATATACGTGTATATTCATTGTGCTCCAGAGTATACATTTTGTATATATACCGTGGAAAAACCTCGACCGACCACCCATCTCCTTTTTTTTTTTTTTTTTTTTTTTTTTTTCCTTCTTTGGCTTCAACCCCCCCGCCCCCCTTTCGTGCCTCGGGTGTACAAAAACATATAATTAACCCGCAGAGTTTGTTGTCGAAGAATTTCGTTCGAGCAGCCCTTGTATGTACAACCGTGTACACATTGTACGCACACCTATGTACCTTCGGATAAACACTCGTCTATACATACATATAGGTGCATTCAAGGACGCGCGGAACTCGGCGACTTTGGTTTACGGGGTGCGTGCAGATTAAATTCGGGGGGAGGGGGGGTTGCAATCTTAACCGGAAGTGCCTGCTCAAAAATTAATGGGAAAACTCGTTGTGGGGGTGGGGGGGGGTAGCAAACGGCTTTATCCAAGAGTAGGTGAGGTGCACGCGTGGAGGAGAGTCGGTCCTTTTGAAAGCCCCCGTCAGGATGGCTGGCGCGTTTTCAAGAGCCGATTGTGCCCACGCCCCTCCCCCCTTCCGCTATACGTGCGGTGTATTAGCGAGAGCCATGCACTTGTAGGTACGTGTATATATGAACTACCGGGCTTTCAAACATATGTTGCACCCCTCCGGTAATTATATTTACCCTGGCGGTTTTATTATTTATGGTAACACATACATATACGTCTATATATATACATACAAGAGGTGCGAGTGTATGTTGGGAAAAGTCCGCTAGCCACGTTACAATTTGGTACGGTGAATGTAATTTTACGTTTTATCGCGCGTTGGACGAGAAAAAAAAATGAGCTCCCATTTGTATGCATAATATTCATATGTTTGGCTATCGAATCGACTATTTTATTTTATCCTAGATTTGTATAACCCAGTCG